ACAACAACAACAACAACAACAACAACGGCAACAACAACGGCAACATGGACAACAGTAAAGACTAACAAAATGAAAACAATAACAATACATGAAAAAATCCAGAGTCAAACAGGAAGAAAGTAAACCAAAGTAGAGCGAGGGGAGGGGTAGCCTACCTGTCAGACAGGGAATTACCATATTGATTTGTTGATTTATTTGTGTGTAAACGAAGAGTTCGTGAAATTGCTGTGCGGTTTCTTCAATTCTTCAGTTATTTATGCCTGTCGTATCCACCCAACCCCCAACCCCCAACCCCCACCCCACCCCTTCACCCCTTCACCCTTCACGCTTATAAAGAATGACATACTCTACTCCAACCCCCAACCCCCAACCCCCACCCCATCCATCAACCCTTCACCCTTCACGCTTATAAAGAATGACATACTCTACACACAGTCCCTGCACTTAACACCCATCTCAAGGTGCATCATGTCTAGACAATAAAATGTCATAGAGTTCGTACGCACTGGTCTAGTACTATGTACGGACAGTCAGATCACTTGAGGTCACGTTGTATAAGCACAAAGTTCACCATTCCTGTTTTGTACATCTCAAAACTAATAGCATGAAACACGTGAGGACATATTATTTTTTTTAAACAATGACGTTGCTTATGTAATTTTTTTTAAGCAAAAAAAACAACAACAAAACAACAAAAAACAAAAACAGAAAACCATAACCAGCCTGCACTTTTAATATGCATCGTTTTCCTTACTTTTGGTGAAAAAAATATCCTTCTATATTGAATAGCAGTCGAAATATTTGCGATTGAAGGATGTCAGGGTCGCCTGGTTTCAGAGGTAAAATTATCGAGAAAAAGGCGCCAAAGTTTGGTAATTACCATTGAGTTCTTGGAGACTGAAAATTTACATTTGTCTGCCTTTCATCAATCTTTTTCAGTAAATTCCACACAAAGATGTGTTTTTATATTGATATAAAAGGTTTCATGACGAAAAAAAAGAAAAGAAAAATAGGAGAAAAAATTGCCCAACGGCCAGAAAGACTTCAGTTTCTTTTATGTCATGATTTTGACGAGCGCCTGGTTTCACGACGATGCCTCACATTTTGTTAATATAACAATAACGTTGTTTATGTAATGAAAAGCAAAAAGAAAACAAAACAAAACAAAAATAAAAAAACATAACCAACCTGCACTTTTAATGTGCATGCTCTGTATAATGTAATGTATTCATTAATTGTTTGTTGTTTTTTTTTGTTGTTTTTTTTTGGGGGGGGGGGAGCAAATGATCAGTTCCGAAGAGCAACACGTTTTCATATTAATAATTGCATTAGTAATGAAATAATAAATACCACGCCCATAGTGCGTGATAGGATCGGGCGCTTGTCACAATAATTTAATGAAATAATTCGGCACACTTCTGGGCATTTTGCATCTTCAAAAAAAAATGTAATGTTCTTTGTCTTTCGGCTCAACGCCTTTCCTGTTCAATTGAAAACTCCTGTCTGTGTGGGTTTTCTGAAAAAAAAAAAACTTGTTTAAAGGTGCTCAAAAATGTACAAAATGTCATACTGTGCTGGAACAAAATAGGGGGGACTGCTGCTTTTTCTTTCTTCGTCCTTACGATTGTTATTTTACCCCTATAACTTCTTTCGTATGTTTATCACTCTCTTATGGACTGCTTTTTCCGGGGTGCCTTGATAGTCGAAGCAGACTTTGTGTTGTTGAGGCTAGAGAGGTGAGCAGAGTAAACCTGATTCCTCGTTTGGACCCGTTGGCGCTTATGTGACCTTATGCAGTTCCGAGCGCCTTAAAACCTTACCAAAACAAAGAAACATAAATCTGTCTGTGGTATGCTGTTCTCTGTTGACCCCAACAGAAGGCACAAGATTCTATTGGCCAGATGATCGACCTGCACATTTCTTCGGATGCCGAAATGGCTAGATAGCCACAAAAACACACTGATAATAATAAT